GCCCATGTAATTGTAACCCCTCTGTACAGTATTTTCACAATAAAAAAAAAGTTAAGAGAAAGAAAGAATACTTGGGTGTTTTTTCTTTTTGTTTACGTATGAAACTGGCACTCAAATTTGGTACCTAATATTCTGGCTCATTTGCTAGCACTCTACCAACTGAACCACTCCTGCAATCCCTTGTTTGTTTGTTTGTTTAATCCTTTTGCTACTACGGAGGCTGAGAACTGCAGGCTTAGATTGGAAGCCAGGCGGGGAAGACAAGTCTGAGAGTCTCTGATCTCCAATTAATCAACAGAAAGCTGAAAGGGAGGGGTGGCTCACTGAAAATGTCCTACAATCTTGATTTACTCAATGACATCACTGAGTACCGAAGTCCACCTGCCCGCCCAGCTAGCGCAGGCATTGTAAAGCTTGTGTATGTGTGTGTGTGTGTGGGGCACTCAGCTCCCACTTTTACTACAGGTGGGGGTGGGAGTGTCCTCGGTGACACGCCCGCTCTGTTCCCGACGCACCAAGGCACCGGCTGGCTCCTGGATGGGCACAGCTCTCACTGCTGGGGGTCAGACATGGGGGGATTCTTGGCCTCGCCAAGGCGCAGCCGGGCGTCTGAGGAGTGCTTGACCTCGGTGGGACAGGCCAGGACACGCATGGAGGAGTGGGACAGCGCTCTCCTGGCATCAGGGGAGGTGTCCTGGTCCAGCTGGGACTTGAATGGACCTGGACGGTTTGGGATCTGAGGTCTTGGAAGGGAAACAGAGTCAGAATGGGGGGTGGGGGTGGGGTCACACGCCTCCTGGGCTTGGCCTGGCTTCCAGTCAGGAGCTAGACACCAAAGGGCCTGGCGCCACTGGCTCCCCTGGAAGCCAACACGAGTGGACTACAGAAAGGGCAGGGAGGCTGGGGCTGCCTGCACCCACGGACCCGTGAATCCCAGACCCAGGGCAGGAGCACGGGGGAGGGCCCTTCCGGTCTTCAGAGGGCAGCAACAGGGCCCCTCTGCAAGACCGGCGGCCACGCAGCCCTGGCCTGCTCCCTCCACCCCTCCTCGTCCACAGCAGAGCGGCACCAGACCCTGTGGGTATCAGCCATGGTGTGCTTACGTACCCCAGAAGAACCGGAAAAAGACAATCATCGCTGCACCTCTGCCTCCATTCTTCCTTTCCTTGGTGGCAGTGGCTGGTACGGGGGCTTGAACTCAGGGCCTGGGCACTGCCCCTGAGCTGTTTTGCTCAAGGGTGGTGCTCTACCACTTGAGCCACAGCTCCACTTCCAGCTTTTTTGCTAGTCAATTTGAGATAAGAGTTGCATGGGTTTTTCTGTCTGGGCTGGCTTTGAACCACGATCCTCAGATCTCATGTGCTTGAGTAGCTAGGATTACAGGCATGAGCCACCAGTGCCGGGCTGGCTGTCTCCATTCTTCAGGTGGGAAAACAGAGACTCTGGGGCTCGGCCATAGCCCCAATCGCACCGGTCAAAGTGAGGGCATTGGGACTTGAGGCCCAGAGCCCAATCAGCATGAAGCTGACTGGTTGGCTGGCTTGCTCACAGGTCAAGGGGAGGCCGCAGGCAGCTAGCCGTGGCTCCTGTCCACCCTCCTGCCTGCATGCACTCTGCAGAGCCACACGTGAGGAGCCCCACATGATCACGACCTGCAGCGCCCCGGAGTCCAAGGATGAAGAGCTACGAAGAAGGAATTCCTTCCGAGATGCTTCTAAATTAAGCCATCTGCAGTCTGTCTCTGCCTGGAGCTAGGAAGCCGCATGGAGCTTTGGCAGGAGACAGCTCTGCCGAGCAGAGCTCTGAGCACTCGAAGGTCGATGGAGGTAAACGGCCGGCATGCAGCCCCGGGGCTGGGCAGGCCGGTGAAGGCTCCAGTCCGGCTTGAAGCCGGGGAGCATGGCCCAGGTTGAAATAGCACTGCACAGGAAAGGGCCATACTCCGGAGACACGGGAGAGGCCCTGGCCCAGTGGCAGAGGCCACGTCACGCGCAGCAGGGACTATACACAGGAAACACACAATGGGTGGATGTTAATTGTGTCAGAGCCACTGTATTACGACTGTGGACAGACAGGTGTAGGTAGTTCATGCCTGTAATCTTAGCACTCAAGAGGCTGAGATCTGATGATCCTGGTTCAAAGCCAGCCTGGGCAGGAAAGTCCATGAGACTTTTTACCTCCAATTAACAAACAAAAAGCCAGAAGTGGGGATATAGTGTAAGTGGTAGAACACCAGCCTTGAATGAAAAAATTAAGTAAGAGCATGAGGCTGTGAGTTCAAATTCCGGTACCAACATGTATGTGTGCACGTGTGCATGCATGCACACGTGTACATACACAGATCATGGAATCATGGACTGGAGCAATCTGTTTTTATGGAGAGCAGGCAGGTTCTCTAGAGAGCATGGGAAAACGTGCTTGGGGGAAAGGAAGAGGAAAATATGTCCCAGGGGTTGGGAGGAATCCGGGCAAATCAGAGGAAGGAAAGCAAGCCAGTGTGGCGGGGAACAGCAAGGCCAGGCTGGGCGGTGAGCGGCACCAGATCTCAGGAGAGACTTGGCCCAAAGGTGGACCAGAGCCCTGGTGAGTCTGGGCTGAGCTGAGGCCCACAGCCGGCCCTGTGCTCAAAGCACTGTGCTCTGTGCTCCACGGGTCTCCACCTTCGCCCTAGAACTGCAGCCTGGGACTCCACTTGCAGACACACTGGAGAGCATCAGTGCCTGCCTGCCTGCCTGCCATCCTCCTTCACCCTTCCCGCCTTCCTTCCTTCTTCCCTCCTTCCTTCCTTCTTCCATCTTTCCATCTTCTTTCCTTACTTCTTCTCTCCCTCCCTTCCTTCTTTTATGATTTTTCGTTTGTTCGTGTGCTGGTACTGGGGCTTGAACTAGGGCCTTGTGTACACAAGATCAAGGCTGGTGCTCTACCACATAAGCCACAGCACCATTTCTGGCATTTGGCTGGCTAATTGAGAAAAGAGTCTCACAGACCTTCCTGCTCGGGCTGGCTTTGAACTGAGATTTTTCAGCTCTC